GTTTAAAGTGACGAGAAACGTACTGATTGTGGAACTACTGTGTATTAAAAGTTTGTATCATGGAAGAATAAACTGGTTTAATCAAGAAAGGACTTGTATCACTGAAGATCCACAGCAAGAATTTCTACCGGAAACAAACAAATAAGCAGATACGTAACAATATAATAAACAAATTATATATATAAAAATATTTCGAAGTTTTGTTATGATGCTATATGAAAAAAATACCTAACACGCTTTTGGTAAGACAATGTGTAAGCGACGTGTACTGACAAAAGCTTTAATTTGAGCACCTTTTCTGAAATCATTGGCGAATAATTTCTGTTACTACTCTCACTCAATCAGGTTTAAATCTTGATTGTGTTACACATTGGGTTATAGTCTTAAAATTCAGTGAATAATATTTTTCAATCCTATTAACCTTTAGAAAACTATCAAGACTGTAGGTTATTAACTCGTACCTTTCATCAACAATCTAATTAAAACATAAACAATGCTGTGTATAACTGTTGTTACTTATTAGTTTTTAAACTTTGCAAATTAGACAGGAAAATTGAACCTATGTTTACAAAAGAAAATGAGTAATCACACTAGAATTTTTTTTTTATTCAAACTCGAGTTTTCGGCTTACGCCTTTCTTAAGGGTTACAGCCTTACAAACAAATATGAACTGGTAACCGAAAAAAAAAACTGACTTAATTAATGTTAACGTCTTGTGTTATCGCATGTTCGTTAAAATGAATCAGAATGTCATCCCAAGCTATCGAACACAAACAAAATAATTACAAAGGCCAAGAGTTATTTCTGTTCATTTTAGGTTTATAAGATTGAATCAATAATCAAAAGAGACTCTTTTAATTTACGATCAAGGAAGCTATTACATTTTGCTAAGAGCTTAAAGTTAAATAATGTTTCATCTACTGTACCATGTTTCATTAAAAGGTGTTTGGCAGTGGCCTTTTTACAATCAAGACTCGCGATGGTACGGATGTGTACCTTAAAACATCCATGGTTTTTGGTACATTTCAGTAACACGTTTATTATTTTCAACGAGAGACCATGATGAAAAGGAACACAAGGCCCTGACTGAATCCCCAGTGTGTGAAACAGTAAATTTAATAGTAAGCTGCAAGTTATTAAAGAAATGAACAAACTATAAGAGAGGTTTAATGTTATGACTCCAAATACCGAAATTGTCATCAATGTAACGACACCACCTATCAGGTTTTTGTCCCGTATGTAAAATGTATGAACTATAGTAACTTTCATAGCTTGTAAAGAAGAGATATGCAAATTGAAAATAATGAAGTATTGATGGCAGAGGTAAAATGTATGGACTATAGTAACTTTCATAGTTGATAAAAGAACTATATTTAAATTAAAACTACCAAAGCACTGATAGCGATGGTAAAATGTAAGGACTATAGTACCTTTAATAGTTGGTAAGGAAAATATATACACAATGAAAATACTGAAGCATTGGTAGCGATGGTAAAATGTGAAAACTATAGTTACTTTAATAGTTTGTATAACGGAAAGACATACAAACTGAAACAACCGGAATGTTGATTGTTGAGGGTAAAATATGAGAAATAGATTCAGTTAACTTAAGTTCTTCCATTAATACTTGGACTTCATGTTGACATAGAAAGTAGAATATACGATGAAAAAAGTGTTTCAATCAAAGTAAAGTGCATGGTCGTCTGCAGAAAATTTTCCAGGGGTGGTGGTGCAAAGTAGTGTGAAATTGTGAATTGAATAAAAAATTCATATACATATGCTGAATGAATAAAGAAAGTATTGTGTTTCTTATTTTCCCCTGTTAAAGTATCTTGTGTGGAGATAGGTACGAGCAGGACGTCAATAATCCTTACAAATAAGTAGATGATAAGCTTGTCATAATGATAAATAATGCCATTAATTCCATTGTTTATTGCTTGGATTGTCTATGTATTTGGCATAGAAATTTAATTTTTCATCAGTTCTATACAGAGTTTGTAAAAGGGAAAAACAAAATTACACAATAAAACTTAATATGTAGGCCCCACCGGTAGTGAGCAGTTAAAAAACAACTAAGCTATTGAGAGTTAATGCTAAAAAAGACAAGATGCATATAACAGTAGCTTACATATATAAAGTAATAGCATTGTATTTATATTTATTGGTAACATAAGTTGTACTGATTTATTTTCAGTTGCACCTTGTTTATCTTGTAGTACATTTCAAATTCCCGGTCACAGCTCAGGCTGAAGGCTTTGCTGCAAATTTCTTGCTTTGAAGCTGAAAACGTTCTTTCAACATATTACGTTGCAACTTCCCGAAATCAGACCGAGGAATCTGGCTTAGAATTTCCAATCCTTTTAACTGTTTCTGTGGAGCTAAACGATCTGTTGAGATGTATGAAGCATTAACAGACTAGTCAGTTTCTGAGAGATAACAACTATTGGTGTTAGTAGCCTTTTGCACCTAGTAACTATTGTTGTCACTATTAGTAGCCTCTTGTAACTAACGTTGTAATGATTAGTAGCCTTTTGTGACTAACAGTTATCGTTGTCATGGCTGGAAGCCTTTTGTAATTAACAACTATAGTTGCCATGGTTAGTAGCCTTTTGTGACTAATAACTATTGTTGTCAGTTAGTAGCTTTTTTTTAACTAGCAATTATCGTTATCATGGCTAATAGCCTTTTATAATTAACAACTAATGGTGATATAGTTAGTAGCCTTTTGTGAGCCATAACTATTGCTATAATGGTTAGTAGCTCTTTTTAACTAACAATTATCGTTGTCATGGTTGGTAGTCTTTGGTAATTAATAACTATTGTTCTCATGGTTAGTAGCCTTTTGTAACTAATAACTATTGTTGTCATTTTTAGTAGCCCTTTTTAACTAACAATTATCGTTGTCATGGTTGGCAGTCTTTTGCAATTAACAGCTATTGTTGTTATTGTTAGTAGCCTTTTGTAAATAATAACTATTGTTGTCATGGTCAGCAGCCCTTTTTAACTAACAGTTATCGTTGTCATGGCTGGTAGCCTTTTGTTATTAACAACTATTGTTGTCATGGTTAGTAGCCTTTTGTAATTAACAACTATTGTTGTCATGGTTAGTAGCCTTTTGTAATTAACAACCATTGTTGTCATGGTTAGTAGCCTTTTGTAATTAACAACTATTGTTGTCATGGCTGGTAGCCTTTTGTAATTAACAACTATTGTTGTCATGGTTAGTAGCCTTTTGTAATTAACAACTATTGTTGTCATGGCTGGTAGCCTTTTGTAATTAACAACTATTGTTATCATGGTTAGTAGCCTTTTGTAATTTACTGTAACTAGCAACTATTGTTCCTAGTTTGCAAAAACAACATTATTTCTGAATAACATTCTCGAATAAATGCATTTAATTGCTGATCATTAATGAATTTTTAGATCAATCGTCAATATTCTTCTTATTATCATTTGTATTTGAAAATATCGATTTCTATTCTTACTTTTTGAACTAATTCAGCATATTAAAGTATATGCAAAGAAATACTGTAGATTAATAGTACTTTTCTCATACATATGTTCATTTTCTAACAAGAATTAACTGGTATTGCATTATATAAATATGTGTGTGTGAATAGCATGCAGCTATTGATTTGTTGTTGTTAAGCGCAAAGCTACACAACTACGGGCTATCTGTGCTCTGCCCACTGAGGGCATCGAAACCCGATTTTCAGCGCCTTAAGCCTGTAGACTTACTTCTGAGTCATTGGGGGAGGTATAATATATATAGCAAGTACACTAATGGTCTAACTATATATATATATATGTGTGTGTGTGTGTGTGTGTGTGTGTGTGTGTACAGGTCGTAATCACTGTATTACTTATTCCTAAATGGCATGCTTCAGAACTACTTTTATGATGGCAAAGTCATCCAGTGGAGTGAAGATCTGACTCAAAGGCTCCTTTATTGGTGTTATTTTTCATGAAATGAAAAATCAAAACATTCATGAGATAACTAAAATGTTTATAGAATCATAAGCAAGCACCGTGTAGAAATTGGGAGAAAATAATATATAGAAGTATATCTATAAAGTTTTAGGCTTATAAAGAATTAATTCTAATATTTAGAATACACAAATAATAACAAAAATGAAGCAATAAAACTGAAGCAAAATCAATACCTGATGTGAAGTGAATGATATCATCTGGTGTTACGTGACTATTAAGCTTAGTCACAACGAACCCGTAAGGTACTTCTCCTAAGGCCATGTCTGGAACACCAATTACAGCAGCGTCCTCTATACCAGGATGGTTGAATAACACAGACTCTATTTCAGTAGGAGAAACTTGATGGAATCCAGTCTTTATAATTTCCTTTATTCTGTCTGTGATATAGATGTTTCCCTCGGAGTCATAGTAACCATAATCTCCTGTTATAAATAACTACGATTAATTGTCTATATATATGTTAATATCTTGCAAAAGATAAGGTGAGAGGGATCTTCTAGGCACCAATTAAAATATTTAAATATATTCATTGATTTTTGCTTTACAGAATATAAATCTATAACATAATATAAATAATGTCTTTGGTATATTCTCTTAAAATATACTTTGAAATTTAATTCTAAAAAAAGTACGAGTTTTAAAACGTTTCTTTATACTAATTACATCTTGTTATTAAGTTTTAAATAATATCGAACATTAAAGGAAATATCTACACCGTTAACTCACTCCAAATAATAATGTTTTCCCACTTTAACTCATAACTCGTTCTTAGCAGTGATGAAATATTAAAAATCTTAACTCACGTGGTCTTTCAGTTTTACTTCTTTCGAAAGTTTTTAGTATTTATCAAAACAACTCACAAGTGAGTACAGTTAGTAGAGAATGGTTTTAACATTGTAGAAAATTGAATGCCTGTTTATAGGCTCTCTCATTTCAAGTTTTGAACTTAAACAAAAATTGTTATGTAAGAAGCTAGAATTAACAAACAATGATAAAATAGTCTGCTAAGTTCTGGGTCTCCGTAGTTCGGCAATTAAACTAACATACATCGAGAGAAGTACTTACACAGTGGCCCCCAGTGGCACAGCGGTATGTCTGCGGACTTAACGCTAGAATCCGGGTTTCGATACCCTTGGTGGGCAGAGCACAGATAGCCCATTGTGTAGCTTTGTGCTTAATTACAAACAAACTTACACAGTAATTGAAGTAAGCTATACACGATACGGGCCTAACAACAACTGTATAGAGTATTTTTCATAAGTTTCTGAAACACTTGGTTCGTTTTCTCAAATTAATTTGTGTTATATGTTATCACATTATTGCAGGTATTTCTACAATAGAACTAAAACTAATAAGTACAAATAAAACTACCTGTTTTGTACCAACCATCAGGTGTGAAAGCTTCAGAGAAAGCTGTGGGGTTGTTTAAGTACGCTTTCATTAATTGTTTACCACGTAGAAGAAATTCTCCACTTTCGTTAACATCACAAGCAGTCCCTGTTATAATATCTACAACCTATAAAAGAAAATCGAAATTTATTCATGATAATTGTTTATTCATCGTGACGCGTGTAGTTTTAACTGGAACAAAATGCTAAAGTATACTAGCTGGAAGACGTTTCGGTTTTAAGCAGCTCCCATTTCCTCTGATAAGACTGATAAAGGGCAAGAAAAGGTACTCTGGTAATACTTATTAATTAAAGCCGTTTTTGATGAGTAAAGTATATCTTCCATGTATAAAAAAGTAGAAAACTTAACCTTCCTTCGAACAAACTTAAAATGTTTCTTTTAGAAAAATCTAACCTGCCTTTTCTTATACTGGCTTCAAAAGAAACTACTATTTTTTGGCCTGGAAACAGAATATACATAAATACATGATTAAATATCTGATGATGACGAAGTAAGACGTTAAAACATGTAGAGCATGAGAAACTATACTCAATATCAAGGTTTTTTTTATCTTTATACAGGGAATTATTGAGCAAATGTCTTATTGTGTTTTGAGAAAAGGGAGACTGATTTTCAAATATTTATTGTTGGTTCTTCATAACACGGATGGTATTCGAAGTTTACACAAGTGTCGTTCCAGTTTGAATAAATTCGCAACTGAATAAATGTACAAGATAGTTATTGTCAAGTTAGTGACAATACAGTAACATATCGTTCTTATAAAATCCTATAATATAGGATACTTTTCAGCTTATGGAAACAAGCTAAATTAATAAATGAGCTCAATAGATATTACGATGCATAACTATTGTCCCCCAGTGGCACAGTGGTATGTTCAAGGACTTACAACACTAATAACCGAGTTTTGATACCCGTGATGAGTATGGCATAGATAGCTCATCGTGTAGTTTTGTGCTTAACTTCACACAACCAAAGCACAACTATTAATGATTCTCGTAAAATTCCTATGGACAATTATTAAAATTGTTTAGCAGTGTATATTGTTTTCGTTTAGAAAATTCTTTACATCCTTTGTTCTGATTTCTTTACCATAAAAACGGTTCCCTTTCATCGTAACTTTATCTCATTACCAGGTTGATTTACTTACTCTGATATCAATAACCTACCAATCAGCATACCTTAGAAAGAAAAAGGCATTTAACATTCAAAGAATAACACTAAATTTCTGAACCTGGCGGCAAATCTGCAACGTAATTTCTCTTATTTGTATATACAGTACTGCTTTCCATCTCCGAAACATGTCGATTACTTCCCGAAAATAGTTATTTGCATCTTTATGTACCAGCTATTTCCACCCTCGAGAAACAACTAGTTTTAGCCTCTCAGACCTATCTTGGTCGCGGGCTTGCCCTGTGGTAGAACTATGGTTTTTGGAGCTATTGAACCAGATATTAATCTGTGCGATACCACAAAATATTCCCCGAAACTTAAGCTGTTGGTGCTTTATAAGAATGAAAGTTAACCAATCCCTTAGGGTGGAGTACGACACTACAGATGTTTGTCTTCCCTCTGGTCAGTAGTTCGAAATTAAGGACAGCGGCAAAGAACTTTAGTAACTTTGCCATATACAGAAAATGTATGACCACCTTTCCCGCAGTTTAATATTTTCCAAATATTTATCCTTCTTTCTGTGAAGCATAAAGGGACATTATCCAAGTTTTAACTTCAGACAACAAAACTGACCATTCAAGTTATCTTCATCATAGACATTTTTTTAACTATACATCTTTTTTGGGGGTTTTGAATTTCGCGCAGAGCTACACGAGGGCTATCTGCGCTAGCCGTCCCTAATTTAGCAGTGAAAGACTTGAGGGAAGGCAGCTAGTCATCACCACACACCGCCAACTCTTGGGCTACTCTTTTACCAACGAATAGTGGGATCGACCATCACACTATAACGCCCCCACGACTGAAAGGGCGAGCATGTTTGGTGGGATGGGGATTCGAACCCGCGATCCTCAGCTTGCAAGTCAAGCGCCATAACCACCTGGCCATGCCAGGCCTGTACATCTTTTAGTTCAAACCATATTAACATGTCGTACCGCTTAAGTTTTCTATTGTTATGTTCAAAAATTGTTGTTTTTAATATTAAAAGGTTAAAATTCAAGGAACTTGTGTATTGTTGCTTTATATCGATAACACTACGTTCACCCCTCAATAAGTGACTGTTCGTATTCTAAATTAATTTCATCTAAAAAAAACATTTTATTTCAATATCTTTTCTTTTGTATTTTGTGTGGTTGACTTTGCTATGCTGCTCTAATTATCTGGTTGTTTAGCACTTTGAAGGAGGGAACGAGAATAATCCGAAACGCCAAGAAAACGTACGGTATCTGAAAGTAAGACTATTTACCTTCATTTTTTTATATAGTAATGAATGATATCCAGTATCTCTTATGAAGTGGACTCGAACAGAAGAAATAAGTAGATCATCTGGTGGGAGGTTTTATAGCAAACGTCTGGTAGTATTTCAAAATATTAAAAACAACAATGCAAACAAATAGCTAATGATCATTGAATTAGTTTAATTAATGTATTCATCGGTCAACATTTGCTTGTTTTTGAAATAAATGTGTTGTGTTTTATTATATCCTATTATCCATTCAAGAAAAACTCTAACATCTCAAATAGATAATTTCCAAAAATACCAACCTTTAATTCCATTGATGGATACAGTTTTCCAACAGAATTCGGTATAGTTTTTCCTTTTTCAGTACAAGACACAAACAACGTTTCACTTAAACCGTACACTGACAAAGGAGAAATAAAATCATATACTCTAAACAATAAGAATCACAATGAAAAATTAATAAAAGTTTTTTCTTAAACTTTAACTATTAGAATAAAGCGCATATATAAAATAAATTGTTGTTACATCTTAATTCTTCCTCTGCAAATTTGTTTTAAAGTATTTAATGACAAAATGAAACTTCTCAAACCATTCAGAAAAAAAGTCCCTTAATTTAATAAATTTAGCTAAAATCAATCTTCTTAAGGTTTGTCGAAGCAGAACATTTTATAGTTTTTGAAACAGAAAACAGAGTGCCTTCTGCAGGTTTGTCTTATATATTTTGATTCTGACGTAATGTCCATGGTCATAGTCCTAATTCTAAGGACTTATGGGTGAAAACAAAACACAAGATGTAATAATATGTCCACCACACTATACCAACCATATCCATTGCCGAAGAGAGATTTTGCCCAATACCGAAGCTCCACTTAGTCCAGTGACTTTATTTCATTCATTTTCACGACTCAGTTATTCAGAGATTTAGCACTATTTCATCATAGGTATCCTATCCTATTTTTCTGTTATTCTGTAGATCTATCCCATTGCCGTTAAGTAAATTCAGTTTTACTTTAATATACCCTAAAAGCAAAGAAGAATATGTAATAGTGTGCTATGTAAACCATTGCTCTAATGTACTAAGTATCAATGAGTTATGTAAACCAAGATCCTAATGCACTAGACAGTAATATGCTATGTAAAGCACAGTCCTAGTGTTCTACATAAAGCATGGTCCTAATGTACTAGCCAGTTATGTGCTCTGTAAAGCATGGTTCTAATGTACTAGCCAGTTGTGTGCTCTGTACAGCATGGTCCTAATGTACTAGCCAGTTGTGTGCTCTGTACAGCATGGTCCTAATGTACTAGCAAGTTGTGTGCTCTATAAAGCATGGTTCTAATGTACTAGCCAGTTATGTGCTCTATAAAGCATGGTTCTAATGTACTAGCCAGTTATGTGCTCTGTAAAGCATGGTTCTAATGTACTAGCCAGTTGTGTGCTCTGTACAGCATGTTCCTAATGTACTAGCCAGTTATGTGCTCTATAAAGCATGGTCCTAATGTATTAGCCAGTCATGTGCTCTGGAAAGCATGGTCCTAATGTACTAGCCAGTTGTGTGCTCTGTACAGCATGGTCCTAATGTACTAGCCAGTTATATGCTCTGTAAATCATAATCTTAATGTGCTAAAGTAACTAGATAGTAATGAAAATAATGTTTTACACTGTCTCACAGAATGTAAGAAAGGAAAGGTTTTCACGAGAACTTCTTCGTTGGCTTCACGACGAAGAGGAGCTCCGCTTGTCAGGATCTCCTTCACACTGGTAAAATCGTACTGTCGTGCTTTCGGATCACTCAAGATGAAATATATCACAGAAACAGCTGCTAAAACGATGGACACCTATTTAAAAAAGTATAAAATAAAATCATTTAATTAATAACTAAAACAACCAGCTGATTTGGGGTTACTTTCAAATATATGGTTATTGTACCAATCCTTTTACATAAATGAAGCTACTATCATAGTTTTTGTATCCGCTCTTCTACGTATCCAATGCTCCAACATGGTTATTGTACCAATCCTTCGCATGTGAAGCTACCATCATGATCATTATACTAGCCCTTTTAAAATATGTAATATCACCACGGTTATTGTACCAACTATTCTAAGTATGCAAAGTCTACAAAGATTATTACTGCTAGAAACACATTGTTAAATTAATTTTATAGCACTAAAATTAATCTAACCAATCTGCACAACTTACCAGCTCTGAATCAAACTGTCTCTCAAATCATGGCAGTTAGTAAATCACATTAAGAAACGATAATATCCTATCACTTTCGACATACAGACCTTTCTTCAGATAGACTATTTTATAGGTTTAAGCACAAATGAAGTATAACGATAATTATCAACTGTTCTTGAGACAAAATATAGTAAATTCCCGTTTTGCAGTTAGTTGTCATCACATTGATGATAAATCACAAGCTCTAGAGTTTTATAGACTATTTTACAATACTTGCAGCCTCAGTTGACCAAGTTAGACGTGATAAATGATCACAAGTGTATGTTGAAAGAGTTGTAAGTTTTTTCTTATCTAAGTAACGTTTGCTCTTAATTGTACATTTTTCTTAGACAGCTGAAACCTGTCGTTTATCAATGTGTTATTTATTTTATTACACACTTCTCCATGTTATAATAAAGTCAATGAACAAAGAAAGGATAACGTATTTCTCGGATACGCAGGTACTTCAGAATTCTAAACTTCGCAGTGACGAAGAATTTTACTTTAGTGAACTGAGGACGGAGCTTCCAATGATTTTAACATCTCTTTGGCCGTAGTCAAATCCAGTTCTGTGGCCTGATTCAAATCGAGTTCTGCGATTTTATTCAATCCAATTCTGTGGTCATATTTAAATCCACTTCTGTATCCCGATTCAAACCCAGGTCTGCAACCATAGTCAAATCCAGTTCTATGGCCGTATTCAAATTCAGTTTTTCATCTTGAAGACATTTACTCGTCTGATAAACATATTCAATATTGTTAACCAAAGCTGCAACATTATTTGTGTTTCTAATTGATTCATAATTGTAACAAGTCCATTTGCCTCTAAACGTGTTTCAGCTTCTTTCAGATTAATCTTCAGATATATAGATAAACATATCATTAATGGCTTCATAGCCTTTTTGCAGGCATGTAGCATTCCGTGGTGAGCATACCAACTGAAAATCTTCCCAATGTTGTCATTCTATGTGGTTTCTAAGCGTCAATAAGAAGACTCAGTTAATGAATTGATGCAGAAAAAACACGTACAACTTTTGCACGATTTAAAAGAAAAAAGAGAGAAATGGCTACTGTGCAACAGTCTACGGCACTTTGTCCTACAAGGTTAAGGGAATGTCCGCAATACAGAACGTGTTCAGCTAACTTATTCTTCTCACGGATCAAGGCCTGCATACCAATATGCTTCCATCTCATGCATTGTCGTATTCTTGGTCTCGGAAGTCTTTAGTGCAAATACCAAGTCAACTGAGAATTGGTTTGCTATGTTCTCACCAGTATGTCCTTATATTGGAATGAATTTAGTAAAACTTTCCACTGGACCGTTCAGTAGCCAATAACGAAATACTAGTAATAGCTAGTTGTAGTGTGAAATATAAGGGGTAGAGTCCACACAAATAAGATAGTACATTACATTCTGATTTCCGAGATGATGTGCTATAGTATTTGTTAGCCAATCATTTCGATAAATTCATTACTTATTGTTGATAAGTATGATACATGTTCTCTCCCTTTGGTAGAACGTTGCTGAAGAATTCGAGACATCCAAAATAACTGCCATATTGTACTGATCCAACTATTTCATCACTTCCATGAAAGGTAAGACCCCTTGACGAAAGCATCTTGACCACACTTAGAACTCACTGGAGAAGTTGATGCCAATGCCTCTTATCAGGCTCTTATTGACCAGTTAGACTGATTAGTAATAAAATCAAATCGGGTATACGCGCTAATAAAAAGGAAAAAAGGTCTCATACATTAATTTACTCTCATCCTGCCTAAAATAATTTCAAGTGAAGAGTTGAATGGGGAAAAACTTAAGCGTAACTGTCTTTGTTGTTCACCAGAAACTGGCAAACTTTTTTGTATTCATTGCAAATTTCAATATCGGACGAAACTTTACAGTTAGGAACAAATGGTTATTCAAATTGCAGCCAGAGACTTAAGCAGCTATAAAAATAGTCCATTGCATACATAATCTATTGAAAAACTTACTATGCGAAACATGACTGGTGAACGTAGAGACCAAAGGATCTCTACCAGCCAACTCTCAAATTGAAATTCTTTTAGACGGGATTAGAATAAATTAATATATGAGACCTTGGACGTGGTCAAATACATCAATTGAAAGGGTTTGACCTCCTAAGTCCAAAACTGTGGTTAGATCTCAAGAGCTAAAATTTTGTACTTGAAAAAAAACAACAACACTCGGAGCCATTCTATGAGCCGCTATACCGCAGCTAAAAACAATGACTTGGTGAGTTTGTACAACGTCGCATAAGTTTCACCAAGAAATATCTTTCCCGAGGCAATGAATCACTCCCCATGTGTTAACAATCAACAACCTCGTTTTTCACAAAAAAAAAAAACTCGCGCGAAATTCTTTCTCCACTTTCCTACATAATTCTAAAATTATGGTTTTTCAGGGTGATCACTCAAATTATCCGCTTTAACTTCAAAAGATTCACTGGTTACATTCTCAGTATCAGTTGCGTTGGGGTCACCAGTCACAATTGTATTTGTACCTGCTGCACTTTGACTACACTTTTCCAAAAGTAAACTCGCTAATCTTTTTGGTACTTGCCAAAACTTTCTGTATTTTTTATTTCTTCTTCTTTCTTAGCTTTCGATTTCTCCCAGCCACTTCGTTGTCTTTTCGTTCTACTCTGTATGTAAATAATTATATAACCTGAGACAAACGCTCAAGATTTGTTGCTATATCAAAACTGCTACTTAGGTCAAGAAGAGATATATAACAGGTGCTGATGGTCCACTCAACTGTATATATGGTGGTCTTTCGAATACCACAAAAATTAACACCAAGTGTTATTTTTCATAGATAACAAAACAACACTACCCCTAAGACAACACAATCAACCGTGCCTACTGCTGCAGCTTCATCAGTACCCGCCTTAATATGGCACTGAGTATAATAACATAATAACAGCTTCATCAGTACCCGCCTTAATATGGCACTGAGTATAATAACATAATAACAGCTTCATCAGTACCCGCCTTAATATGGCACTGAGTATAATGACATAATAACAGCTTCATCAGTACCCGCCTTAATATGGCACTGAGTATAATAACATAATAACAGCTTCATCAGTACCCGCCTTAATATGGCACTGAGTATAATAACCATGTTGGTGGTAGCATTGTGTACTCAGTAGTGATGAAACAATTATCATGTTTGGAACTTTATACATGTAGAAGGGTCTGTAATTTTCTAAATGTCAGTGTTTTGTCTTATGTCAGTATAATAAATATTACAACTAGAAACGCCACCTTACGGGCGTTTGTTTGTGCTAGTAATTACTAATCGTAATATTCATACCTCAATGAAAGAAAAAATAGAAAAGCGAACATTTTCTAGAAAAAGGATTGTCTTGGGAAGTACTGCAAGGGAAAAGTTTTTGGGTTATGCTGATATAAACTGTAATGTTTTTGTATATTAAAAATGATACCCTTTTATTGAAAAAATATTTTTTTTAAGAACTCTATATGTTTAGTACTATATTTACAAATTACATCAATAAAGATATAATCAAACCCTCACGTACAATCCTAGTAAAAGTCGTGTTCTTGTTGTGAGGAGAGTATTTTATTTAAAATTGTGATCTGTGATAAAGAAATGGTTGTTGCACATACCGTAATTATTTTTCTAATTGTCCGAATCTTGAATACCTAAACTGTGAATTTTTTATGGATTTTTTGCTTGTGGTGCCATTTAATAAATGTCGTCACATTGTATTTATTAACTCGGTCACATATACTGATACATATACACATGTTACGTTCATTATAGTAAGATGTGTGCATTTTCAAATGCTGAATGTCGTTACCAAAAGCGTACTTTTGTTTGAGTTTAGAATGACTGTTCTAAATATTAAATGTCAGTATCATAAGTGCCACATGTTACTATGATGTCCTAAGCATGATCAGAAATTTTGTTAAAACGTTACATGCATCCTCAAAAAACTTACACTTCATAGAAATATTTCAATTTTTGATATTTTAGTAAATATTCTGAACAAGAGTTGTGTGGAAAAAACAGCATATTAGAGTCGTTACTTAAATTGTTACTAATTTCAGCCTGCCATAACTAGTGTAGGATATATCTTTATTGAAATATATTCAGATAATCTTTCTGAATTTATTCGCAGTTTCTGCATCTAGCTAATCACATCTTTGTTGATCGGATGTCGCGATGTTCTAGTACTTTTACACAGATAAGTATCACATTCTGCAGTCTTTATTCTTAAGTCTCAAGCTAGAATTTAGGCGTTTCTTTATGGACTTCTAGAAAGGTAGCCTAGTCAAATAGTTATTACTGTACAAATTGTCTTTGAATTGTATGTAAACCATTGGTTGAAATATATAACACATGGACTTGTGGGATACCTCACTAAACAATAGTCTGAGTGTAAAAGTGAGTGATTCCCATTGTTCACCCTTATGTCTCTAGTGTTCCTGCCCTCAATCTTGCATCAGTTAGACAATAGTAACACATAGAATCCATCCAGCAATATGTTAACTTATGTAGGCATTAGTGTCAGTAAACACTTTTGTTTGCTTGATCACTTGTATTCATATGTTTTCTTTAGGTGTTCGCATTCAGTTTATTTGTCACTTAACAATCCTTAACTTGCGTTTTGCGGATACCTTAGACTTTTCTGTTGGACATCAGTTTCCCTGAATACCACATTATAACAAAAGTATTTATTTAAAGATTGACTTACTACAAACTAGCATAACTAATTATTTCTTTATGATGCATTTGTATGTAGTCTGTGTGACTTTTTAAGCAAAAACGTGTTCTAATAAATCAGGAGAAATGTTGTTTTGAGAGTTACAACTTTTGTTATTTTAATCTTACCTTATGACGTGGTATTACTTCCAAGAACAAGTCTGAGTCATAAGATGGTACGTTGATCATAGTCAGTCCTTCGGCCATACCGATCAACAGAAACAGAAAGCCAGCCACGTGGCAGAATGGATACATGCCAAGAACAATTTCGTCACGAGGGTACTTCCAAATAGTTGGATCCCTAGAAGAAGAAAAATTGAAATGATAAATATTATCTATCATTAATGAATTACCTTACAGTATTTATGCTAGCTCTACGTTTCTGGACAAAACCAATAACTTGTAAGATGTGTTATCTAGTGTCTGAATTCTTAAAGAAGTGTTTGAGTAGGCTCAAACTAGAGGAATTGGTAAACTTTGTAAATATGTCAAATAACACACCAAATATAACAAATACAAACATTTCATACATTTTCTTCGGCTCAACTGTATTGAACCAACTAGAAATATAAACTATTCAAATTATTGTGGTCTTTGACTGCGCTTTAAAAGTCACAGTGTGTTTTCTTTAAATATTGTCTACATCCTGTATAGTTACACGTGTCATGAATAGATAAAAAAGACAGAACAACTCCTTTTGTTTACTATTTACGCCAGTGTTTGTTTACAAGGTAGTGAATTCAGAAACACGATAAAATTGTTTTTAGACATACGTATATTAATCACTGGAGTATATATTTAATTATAATAAAAAAGTTTTTCATAATATTTTGTCACACATTTATCTTACTCCCATCTATTTACTAAATCTATATTGATATACATATTTGTAGCCTTTTGTTCAATAGAACTATAGTACTATTTTTAAACAGAATTAAATCCCTTATGATTGTCTAACAAAGTAAATATCGTTCCTTTACCTTAAATATAACACATATATCTTTGGTTGTCGCGTAATAATCTAAACAAAAGTTCAGGTAAATTCTATCAATATACTTATCATAATTAAACAAAATCATTTTTAAACGAGTACATTTTATATTCTCGTTTTTGTATTTTCTCATTTTTTGACAACAAAAAAACTCACATAGTGTGAAGTATTGTTGCAAGAAAACTAAAATGAGTATGGATAATAGCTTTGGGTAAACCAGTAGTTCCACTTGAAAATGGTAACACTATCGGTGTTACTTTAGGGTCAATCTTAGGAGGGCCGGTAAAGGCAGATCCATCGTCTTCTTCAACAAGTTCTGTGAAGGATGGGCAACCTTCGGTTTTCTCAAACACCAGTATTTCCTGCCAAATTAAACACAGATAGCAAGTAAATTACTAAAAAAAAGTTAAATGTCGGTACTTTCCAACAACAGAGTAGGAATTATTATTATTACATACATTGAGAAATGTGTATTTGACTGATTACTAAGTGCTTTTAGACAACAGAGTAACAGTTACTATATACGTATATAGAAAGATGTGTCTTTGACAACATTATGTTACTTACAATCTCAAGACTTATTTTTTCTCCAATTACAATTTCATGAAACTTCCTTTTTGAAACATAGTTGATAAAAAGGACACAGAATATTTTTAGCAAGACTCAGTTCATTTAATTTTAGTTACAAAAAATAATAATGACAAGACTTCTGCTACTCTGACTTTGGACTACTGGTTAGCTTGTCACGCTGTGGAACAGAAGGTCCGAGGTTTCCATTTTAGGCTCAATAAGCTAAAAACTTAAAGTAGCGCCATTTGAACAAAAACAGACAACTAATAAATGGCATATAAACAAGATGAACGTTTGACTGCATGCGATTATTGTTAGGGAAACTACTATGTTAAAAAAGTTTTCAAATGATAGTAGTACAGTGGCTATACTGGCTTGTTCCACTTTCAGTCTCAAAATAGGTACCACTGAGGGTGCAACCATATTGGATAACACCAGTTGGTCGCTTTCTATGCACGTATTAATAGTGTGACACTACTGGTCCAGTTCTCTTGACATTTATAGGCGAAGCCATATTGTATCCCTGGTGGTGGTTGCGATTTATTTTAGCATTGAGCTTCGTAACATTATACAGGTGTTCACGGAATGGTTTTCATTGACTTAATTGATTTCATTACGTAATAAGAAATAAATATAAATAATACTATTTACAAGGGGCATCTTAAAATCAGGAACATACAGAATCAGCACCAGATGTGAGACGGTGTACTAACACATAGAACAGCACGCAACACAATTTTAGCGCATAATTAAAAACCTAGAAAACTTAAACAAGTTTTATTGATTATTTTAAACAAAAAATATCTAAAAAGGATTAAACATCTCACACATGATCCCACTCCCAAATGCATCAAGAAAACCATCATCGATGAAGATTAATCCAATTTGTGGAAACTTACTTAATCGATTGATGGAGATAAAATTTACTTATATTTGTGGAATAATTTAGTAATAGTAAGACTCATGTGTGCTTCCTTAGTAAACAATTAATGACTCACAAGGCTTATAAAAATAGTGACCTCTGGTGGCTCAGTGGTAAATGAGGACTTAAAACGCTAAAAATCGGGTTGCGATAACCTCTGTGGGCAGACTACACAAAGCCCATTGTGTAGCTTTCCGCTTGATAACAAGCCAAACAAACAGAAATAATGACTATATACGCACAAAAATAACCAGTATATTACAGATTACAGACTTACAACGTAATAACTTGTGGTATAATTCTCCGTGGTGGACAGAACGCAAACAGCCAATTGTGTAATTTAGCGCTAAAACAAAAATAAAATAATAAGTGTGTATGTGGGGGAATAGTGTTCAAATATTATTTGGTAAAGTAAGAGTTTCAATATCATGTAAATTTAAAAATAGGAGCAAAAAATACAATAATATGAAATTAAGTATATGTGTGAATTGCGTGTCTAAAAAATAGCTGTGGCACTAGCAAAAGTTTCGTAAACTTTAGGCCTATGGTTATAAAGTCATGTAGAAGTCTCCTATGGTTATAAAGTCATGGAGAAGTCTCCTGCATCTAATTCTGTAATGAACACCAGGAGTACAACATGTCTGAGCTTGTTTACCACCAGGAAAATAGCACATAACTACGTACATTATGGTTCAGGGAAACTGAATGGGTAATACAAATCGTATTTAAGTCAATAGGAAACTATCATCACGGGTTATCCTATAATACTATGTCCATAAGGATGAATCAACTTGGATTTGAAGGTCATCTGCCTTTTTGAATGAAAAAGTAAACAAAAGACTTATTCTAACCACTATACCACTATTATTTTATTTTGCCATGTGAAATTGTTGCAACTTTTGAAAAGTTAGACAAATCATAGCTTATCTACAAGTACATTTGCAGATAAATCTGTTGTATTCACGTATTATATGATGTAAGTAAGGGCACTTTGGCCACTCATTATTTAATTTGTTATACATATATATAAAGTAATAAAAATATATGTAAAAATCAATACCCAGTATGATTTCTATTCATAAGATATTCTAAATGAAAAATTTACCCGAAACTTCGGAAGATTTTTCGTTGCTTCTCGAGCCTTTTCCAGATTTTCCCTCTCAACTAACAAGTAAGCTGCATTAGCCTTCTCCAGTTTGTACTGTAGTTCTCCTTACACCCAAGAACAAGTAGAGAACCATAAATAAATCAAAATGTTCCTTTTAACACGAAATTAATAATGGTAAGACAATTTGCCGTAATATTAAGATAATAAAAAGTAGACATTTTCTTGTATATATATACACATAAGCTACAGTTAAAGGTTTCAATTCAAGATGGATATGTATAACAAAGCCTGAATCTTTTCTTTTTTCCAAATTCTTTATTTTACAGTTTTGTAGCATCAAAGATTACTCTACTGTATTAAAATTATAAAAAACAGAAAACATCTAAACCCTTTTTGAAAAGTATTAAAGCTGAAGTTTAAAATTTGTTGTTTAAATAATGGGGAGATGGGGCATTTTCGTGATTTTGGGTTAATAACTATGTAAAGTGTGATCATATTTGTACCAAATTTCACGGGCACATCACATTACAAAAAATGATCTGGATCTGAGAAGGATTTTCTGAGTTTTCGAAGGTGAAATTTGACGTTATACAGTTCAAAACCAAAATATGATTAAAAAGAATCTTTAAATTAAAATCAACATAAATTTTTTAACGTTAATAGTAAAGTTACTGCAATACAATACATAAATGTCACAGATTACAGATATTATTTTTTTAGAAATGCTTTACTTTGTCCTGAATAACTTTTATGTTTCAAAAGAGTTGTCCAAAGTATACGTAAGGTACTTCTAAAATAATCGCCATAATCTCCCTATTTATTAAACATTTCGCCTCCTAACATAAAACATTAAAGATATTTCCCTTTGTCTTACAGTTTCTGTATGTTGGACTGCAACAGTGGTGGATGGGTCTGTATAAGTAGAACTAAATCTAGGCCTTTTAAAATAAATTTCTGATCAAACCTCCAATTAATACAATTAATGGTTAGGTCACTCTACTCAAGATCTGCGGGTTGCAGGTTCAATACCCCGTCACACCGAACATGCCCTCCCACATTTCAGCCTTGAGGGCGTTATAATTTTACGGTCAATTCCAATATTCGTTGGTAAAAAGTAGGTCAAGAGTTGGCAGTAAGTAACTTTGACTAGCTGCCTTCTCTGTAGTCTATAACTGCTAAAACAGAGACAACTAGTACAGATAGCCTGCGTGAAGCTGTACGCGAAATTCAAATCAAACCAGACCAATATAATTAAGTTGTTATTTTGAAATTAAGCACAAAGCTACACAATGGGCTATCTGGGCTCTGCCCACCACGGGTATCGAATCCCGGTTTCTAGCACTGTAAGTTGGCAGACATACCGCTGTGCCACTGGGGGGGGGCAATATAATTATCAAAAATAAAATTCAGTTTAACATGATGTGAAATAGTCGGCTATACAGCAACAACAGCAAGTGACAGTAATAGCTGATTTGGTTTCTTACTTTTTCCCCTTTTTTTTTGAGGTAACTGATTTACAAAATTTTCACTATCTTTGATATAACTTTCCAAATTCGAAATAAAAAATTTTCAAGATAACACTAAATGAATTATTCAACGGTTTAGTAATTTTAGTTTTGCCTCCTACAATATGGCAACTTGACAAAAGATTTGGCAACCAAATGTATTCGGATCTTTTTAAATCCCTAAGTATTCTTACAACAATGTGCTTTTATGCAACGTTGGTAAAACATGTATTGTTTATTTGTTTGGAATTAAGCACAAAGCTACACAATGGGCTATCTGTGCTCTGCCCACCACGGGCATCGAAACCCGGATTAAAGCGTTGTAATTCCACAGATATACCTCTGTGACACTGGGGGGGGGGGAGCTAAAACATGTAACTTTACCAATTACTTTTGACTGAAAATAAATTATTTTTTTCCTCATCAAACAAACCTACAAAACTCGATACATGTTATAATAATCTCGCTTTTATGTTCTTTATATAAAAGTTTGCATCCTTATTAGACATGTTTTCATAATTATTATCATTATTAATGTGTTCTAACGTCATATTCCTATAATAACTGGTTTCCATTGCAATCAAAACACTATCTTTATCACTTTGTTTGGATAATTCTATCGCCTCTTCCCGATTTTCTTTGTCCCTTGGAAACATTATCTTTTACTCCTTATAAGAAACAAATGTTTTTTTTAATCTGATTACAAATCAAATCAAACTTCCCAATTCATTCATCCCAGTGGTTCAAAAGTTCACTTCATCTGTACATGTTGTAACCTAAAGAACATTTAGGGTATTTATATTCATATACCACATTAGAAGTTTTGTAGGAGTGTACACGATCATTATATCTGAAAAAAAAATAAATGCTGTATAGCGTTAAACAATCATTTTAATACTACATGAGGGTATACTCTATGACATAGTTTAATTAATTTCTGCTCAGAATCGCCTGTTTCCCAGTATATAGTACGACGAAAGTAATTTTTTGTTTTGCTACATTCCATTTAGGTGGTGTAGGGTGACACAGTGTCGCTCCTGTTTGTTTTGTTCTCGTGACATTCGGCACGTACTTTCTACATAATTGTGTAATTTGGTTTAGTGTTTGTATCATATTTTAGGTTGTGAAGTTTGAAAATTTTGTTTTAAAATGCTGTTTTTAAAAACATTAAACATATTTCCCTTTGTTTTAGAGTTACTCTTTTTATTGTGTGCCTAAAATCATGTAAATGTATTCAATATAGGTATGTTGGATGGAAACAGTCCAACATCCAGGCTCACGACACGGAATATCCTGATGGACTGACCGTCTCACTGTAACGAGATATCCTGTCCTCTCAGTGAATGTCCTGCTCCTTGTAAATCATGGCCAATACAAATTCAGAAACTTAGCACAGATACATGTAATTTGCGGTTTTATATGAGCCCCCCCCCCCCCCCAGTGG